CGCCCCTCCTCATTGCCACCTTAGGTCATGTTAGGGGTCTTGCCCTCCAGGTGATTTGGAAGTGAGTCTCTTGGCAGCCCTCATGCAGGTCCCAGCACCCTGTCCTGCTTCTTAACCAAGTGTGTGTGACTCTCAAAGAGTCCTACTGCCTGCTGAAGTGAACCAATACCAGAAAGGCAACTGTGAGCCATCTTCGTTTCACTCACTGTTTAGCTAAGCTCTTAGGCCACAAAAGGGGTTTCTCAAACCTCTGATTATGTCAGAGTTCATGAGAAAGGACACACACTCACTCAAACCAAATCGAACAAATTGAACTTTACTTTTCATAGCAAGCTTCTGAGAGCTCATCAAGATTTGAATGCAGTCTGAATCAAAGTATTTGGCAGCATAATTCCTAAAGGGAATGGCTTTGATAGACCATTTTCAAGAAGGATTTATAAAGAAATTGAACAGCAGGTCTGTGACAGAGAAATAGAACTGCTTTCAGACCAAACAGCCCAGCCAAACATTTGGACACAGACGCTACTCCGGACTTGGTATACTTGCTGGAGTCCATAAAAATCTGTGCTTGTTTTAGGAAACACTCCCCCCTTGCCCTGTATAAATGGAGTAAGAGAAGAGAGAAAAGTCAAATGCTTTTCTCTTATTTGTGTGTGAGGGCTGAGGTGCGTGGTTTTTCTTTCTCAAAGATCATGTCAGGATCACAGAACTCTTTTATACAAGTGAGATCCAGGTCTCTGAATATCTTTTTGTAAATAATAATAATAATAATAATAATAAAAAGCTCCTCACCAAATTCAAGCTTGTACATTATATTTTCTTTCAATGTTTTTAAATTTAAGTTTTATTGTTTTGTATGTAAATATGTGGACCCAGGAACTGTTATTAATGAGCAAAAAGTTACTGTTCAGGGCAGTGATTCTGTTTAATAATCAGACAAAATGTAGACGAGCTTTTTAAAGCCATATAGTTTTAACTCTGTACAGTAGGTACCGGCCTGTATTATTGTAACAATAACTCTAGCAATGTATAGTGTATCTATATAGTTTGGAGTGCCTTCACTGCCATGTGTTTGTTTTTTTTGTTTTTGTTTTCATTTTTAAATTTTAATTGCTTCCTCTATCCATGTCTCCCTGTCCCCCCCCCCCCCCCCCGTTTCCCCTTGAAATAATAGCTCACTCCCAACACAGTGTCTCTGCCCCTTCCACAGTTAAGTTTCAGTGATGCCATGCTCAGAAGCGGAAAGGGGGAACCACGTTCACAATCTCGTTTCATTCAAGCCCTGCCTTTGTTCTGATTCTGAACGTTTGTTTCCTCATCAGTAGCAGTGACCGGTTTCATTTCACACTTAGTTCATCCAGGGACTTAGAGTAGTGCCAGGGAGCCCTAGAGCTGAAGGATAGCGAATAGATTAGATTTTACTCGTCTCTTCCCCAAACTCTAACCCGTGGGTCTTACAAACAGCAGATTGCGGGAACCTTCCATGCTCTCTCTCTCCTCCTCAGCTATTTCCCTCCCAAATGAGAGAGAGAGAGAGAACTGGTTTTTATAAATCAGAATTTTGTAATAGTATCAGGTTTTGATACGTCAGTGGTCTAAAATGCTCTAGTGCGGTTACTGCCCGGAGCGTGCCGGGCCCGTAGAGGACTGTGGTTTCAGCCCCTCCCTCCCTCCCACCACCTCCACCCCATTCAATGAAATGTCATTATTTTTTAATTTCTTTTTTTAAAAATCAGTGTAATTCTTACTGTGTGCCCATCATGAAGGCCTTTTTTTGAAAAAAAAGTCAAGATGATTTGTTTTGCCTCCAAGTACTCCATATAAGATGTCTTGAGTAGAAGAGAAAAACTTTACCAAACCAAAGGTTGCTATTTTTGAAACATCGTGTGTTCATTCCAGCAAGGCAGAAGACTGCACCTTCTTTCCAGTGACATGTTCTGTCATTTTTTTAAGTCCTCCTAATTTTTAGACACATATTCTTGGTTTGTGTTTTAACAAAGCCTGCCTAACCAGTCATCTTGTCTGCACCAATGCAAAGGTTTCTGAGAGGACTATTGTATTCTCTATCCCTGTGGATATAAAGACACTGGCATTTCATTTTTTTTTTCCCCTTGCCTTTTTAAAGGATTTAACTTTGGAATCTTCCAAAGGAAGTTTGGCCAATGCCAGATCCCCAGGGGTCTGGGGATTTTTCTTTATTTTAAATCAAGATGGTATCTGACTCCTCTTGTTCATGTTAGTGATCCTCTAATCACAGAGCCGAACACTTTCTCCTTATATAGAAGAATAAACTAAGCGTGCTTTACAAGAAAATCTGTCTTTTCGGGTAGAATCCTGAGCCACTGAAAATGAGAGAGACAACTAGAAGCACAGTAGAGTCCCAGACTAAGTTCTACGTTTGAGAGGCTTTGAAAGTAATCCCTGGGGTTTGGATTATTTTCACAAGGGTTATGACTTTTGTTCAAGTTTGTTGCTCCGTTTTGCACCTCTGCAATAAAAGCAAAATGACAACCAGTACATAAGGGGTTAGCTTGACAAAGTAGACTTCCTTGTGTTAATTTTTAAGTTTTTTTTCTTATATATCTGTCTACAGGCAGATACAGATAGATGTATGAAAATGTGCTTGCCTGTAAAATTTGCATTTCTAATGTGTTGCCGATGGATCACTTGGGCCTGTACACATACCAATTAGCGTGACCACTTCCATCTTAAAAGCAAATCTAAAAAACAAAATTTATTATATATATATATATATATATATATAAAGGACTGTGGGTTGTATACAAACTATTGCAAACACTTGTGCAAATCTGTCTTGATATAAAGGAAAAGCAAAAATCTGTATAACATTATTACTACTTGAATGCCTCTGTGACTGATTTTTTTTTTTCATTTTAAATATAAACTTTTTTGTGAAAAGTATGCTCAATGTTTTTTTTCCCCTTCCCCATTCCCTTGTAAATACATTTCGTTCTATGTGACTTGGTTTGGAAATAGTTAACTGGTACTGTAATTTGCATTAAATAAAAAGTAGGTTAGCCTGGAAATGAAATTAAAATTCACAAGTGTGTGGTCTTTCTTTCAGTACCCAACCCTCTTTTCTTCACCCTGCCTATTTTGTCATTGCAATATGTAGTCACATCACCATCTCCGTTCCTCCAGTTAGAGAAACATGAATCTTTGTTATAAAAATCAAGATACAAACACTAGTTCTTCTTTCCAATGATCTTATTCCATTGTATAGCCCCAAGAGGTGCAGCTTCCATCTTGGAAACCTTTGGATTTGCTGTAGAGGAAGCTTTGCAGACACTGCTTTGAAGAGAGAAAATCCCTAAAAGGGACAAGTTTTTTAAACGTGTGTAAGCTGCTGTCTTTGATTACTGTGTTCACGGTTTGGTGTAGCTGTGTTTTCTTTTAACTTTCATCCCATTAGTAATGGTCTTTGGGAGTATCTGTAAAATATATGAACACCACAGACAGTGGGGCTGTACCTCCCAGGTAACCGACACATGTGTTTGAGTCTGCTCATTTCCAATCCTGGATGATGTATGTAAACATGTTATGTCTCTTAGTGCAAAAAGAAACATCTTTTTTTTAGGGCTGGCTCACTCTGTCAGGCCTAATCTAAAGGCTAGATATAAAGTCATGTGACTGCTGCTTCAATAAAAACAAATTTATATTGGATAAAGTCTAGTCTTCTCTTTATTTACTTACTTATTGTGCTGGGGGGGTTGGCTAATGCCACTAATATTTGTAAAATAGATACTTTTACCAGTGTGTGGGGAGGTGCAGGTTGGGGGGTTTCAGGACAAACATGTAAAACGTTACTTTGGGATGGGCCTCCTGAAGGTATTGAAGTGTGTGTTTGAGATTCACTTAACACAGTGTGTTAAATGTCCGGCAAGATAGCCTTTTAACTTAAAATCCTGAAAGACTGCGTTTCTAATTTATTAGGTCTTCCAAAAAGTTGTGACCAACCAGTCCTTTGAGATCCCGTTTGTGGAGAGCAGTGATAGAGATGTCATTTCAGAAGATGTTCTAGACAGATGACAGTTGGGAAAGGGAGAGATTAGGTTGCAAATCTCGTTCATGCAAAAGGAAGTGAGCCAGAGTGATGGGGTGGGTCACCCATTTCTCGGGTGTAGGAATACTTCACCCGCCACCTGGCACCTTCAGATTTAGGAGAGCTGTGGGTATGAAAAGGAAAGAGTCCAGGGAGAAACTGAAGCTAATGTGGAAGGTGGCATGCTCAGGCCCACACGTTGCCAGAAGCCGGGAAGGGATGGTCACTCAGATCTATGTTTCTCTTTACATCATCTTTTCTCCAGAAAGGAGAGGCCACCCTGCGCCTTCCCACAAGAAGACTTGTTGATGTCAAGGCTTTAATTAGATCCTTAGAGTCTGGGCCACGTAGAGATTGGCTGCTGGGTGGCTCTGACTAATGGGAGAGCCAGAGGCCAGCAGTCACTCACTTAGTCTTTTCTCCTGAGCTTTGGAGACTGACTCCATCCTCACCTGACCGAGGCAAGAGCTAGAAAAAGAATGGTGGCTACGAGGATGCCCGGAGACTGACCCCTAGTTCTCCATGCTGAAAAGCTCAGGGAAGGGAGTACTGAGGAAATCCAAATATTTGAGAGTAGGAAAGTTAGTCTGGCTCCTAGTCCTATAAACTCAAGATCCACAGAACTGCTGAAAGGAGTATCCTGTGTGAGCTCTGGTGCATCTAAGCTTGAATCTTAACTACATTTCGACTACACTTAGTATTTATAAATATTAAATCATACGTACCTACCAATTCAATGTTTATAGAACTGCCCAGGTATTTTTAAAATCCATACTGGGAGCTGGGAGTTTACCTCCAGTCTTAATCCCTCCTTGACCTCACCTTACTGTAGCCGACATTTAACAACCACTTCAGGCTCTTGAATGAATGGCACACTCAAAATTATTTCAACGGGGACGGAGAGATGCATCTGACTTACGAATACAGTTGAATGAAACATATTTCCAAACGAGTATAATTAGACAAAATTCCTGGGGGCGAAAGCTGTAGTCATTGTATTTGGAGAGAGGAGCTCTTTTTTCCCTCAGTTTCTTTTCTAAAAATGAGTGTGTTCTGAATCTCCTTGATGCAGAAGAGGCTGGGAAATCTGGAGGGTGGCAAGGAATATGTTTGCTGGCTTTGATTTATAGTGTCAGTGATTTCTTAAGTTCTCAAAGTTTGGCCTGCTTCCTGTAAAATAGTAAAAGCTGAATGAGTATCTGTTCCTTAAAATTCAGTTAACTTGTAGCTTCATTTGCAACGAAATGAGATATTTAAAATTAATTGTTAGTACATTTTAAATTATGCACATACTTTAAATTTTTAGGTAGAACCATCATTTTATGAGCAAACCAAGTTAAATAATGCATTTTTATGTTCTTACACGAAGAGTCTGCAGATGTGTAAAGGGCAATAGTAAAATAAGTAGTGAAATATATATATATATTATATACATAATATATATTTCTATTTCTCCACCCCCACATTTCTTTCTTCCCCAGAAAAGAAGGCAAAAAAAGAAGAAAAAAGGTTTAAATCTCTACCCAAAGTTAATTCTGTAAGTCCTCTTACCTTGATTTGACATTAAACTTAGGATTTGATAAGCCTAGTTCTTAGGTGTGGAATGCTTTATGTAAAATTAGTTAAAACGTAGTTTATGAAAAATGCAAAAAAATTTTACTCAAAATGGCTATAAATAAAACAGACACTTTCATCCTCTTTAACTTTGCAAATAGATGTGTAAATGGAAACATACAGTGCACACATATCCAGCGCATTTATTAACTGCCTGGCAACGTAGCCTGTCACAGCGAGCACCCCAGGGTTCCAGCTTCGGGAGCAACCCACACCCCAGCTCAGATGTGGAGCAGACACACACACGTGCACACAGCCAGCTAGTGCCCTCCCTGCCTTGGGCACAGGTTCCAGGGATCCCTCTCTTGGGTCCTGAGTGCACACACAACCCCAGCGTAGCTCAGCATCCACACAAAGACATCCTTTATGCTGCTTACGCCACATCACTTCTTTTGATCAAAGTTACGTGTGTTTCTGCTTTGTTTTCTTTACTGAACCATAAACTTGAAAGTCAGGATCCATTTCTGAGTGAGCGTTACCCCACAGCAGGTTGCTTATTGTTTGGTGCTTAATAGCATGTTTGGATGTAGAGACAGAATGAGGTGTCAGGAGGAGGGAAGAATAAAAAGATAGGGAAGTCCTGAGCAGCTTCTGACATTTGGTGCAGGCTTCTGGCTTCTCTCGAGAATACTCCCACAGTCACTAATGCATCTGCTGATGGACACAGGCCTGGAACTCAGAGCAGCTCAGGACAGGAGGCTGTGGGTTGGGAATGAGTGAGAAGTGGGAGACAAGGGTGCTAGAGGTAGCAGTGAAAACACCCAAGAAGCTAATGAACTCGGGTATGGGCACAGACCCTCGATGGCCCACCCCCAGTCACCCTTTCCCCTCTCCCACCATAACACTAGATCCCCAGACCACTGGGCCTTCTAAGGGAAGGGTGGCCTTGCCTCTCAATGGGCCTGACCTATAGGCCAGTGCACTCTCCATTTAAGGGTCAATGGCTTCATTCTCCACAGACTGAGCTGGGGGCTGAGAGGACCCATGTTCCCTCCTGATGAATACTAGCCAGCATCCTCAGAGCTGTCATTGTGTGTTCCCTGGAGAGGCAGGACCTGTCGGGCACTGTAGGCTCTCAGTGGAGTCCATCTTTCTAGCCCCAGGAGTGGCGGCTCCAAGGGCTCTGGCTCTGGCTGCCCCCATGGGGGCTAGCCCAGGGGCCGCTGCTCAGCCATCTGTGATGTTGAACAACTCCCGCATGAGGGGGGTAGCAAAGGGGTGTATGTCCTGGATGCGCAGCAGCCGCTGGGTGTGCTCGGCGTTGATGCTGCGAAGCTCGGTGAGTATAGCCATGATCTTCAGAAACAGGAACCTGCAGGCCAGCCAGAGGAATGGTTGGGGGTGCAGCCACCCTTGCCCTGACCCACTAACCCTGGGACCGCTCTGAAGTTGCACAAGTTTGGAACAAGTTTGGAGGTTTTAATCTCAGGTCAGCCAAGAGACAAGGCTCGGTTGAATTCCTTAAGCTTCTCTTTCAGCCTGCGGACGAGAAGAGCAGAACAGCCTGGGGGACTTGAGGTGTGGACCTGCACTCCTTGCTCGCACCTCATGCTCTCGTATACAGACTTCCGGGGGAAAATCCAGGTATTGCAGGCACTGAGTGCACAGGTCAATTTGAGGGGAACTCTCTGCCCAGGTTAATGGCTGGGGTGAGGACCAAGTGGAGTAGTTGTAGGGGCAGGGGCTGCAGGCTGCAGTCCCTTCCTAGATATAGCCCGAGATCTAGTGTCTGAGACACATCTTGTGCCTCAGTTTCCCCATGATGCCTCCTAGCTCCATACAGGGGAGGACTGAGAAAATCAAGCCACGGCCACCCCCAGCATCCCAGGATGCTGAACTCAAAAGAACACGCCAAGTAAAGACTAGAGGTTTAAGTTCACACAAGCATACCCAGTGCTGGCCTTCACATGTCATGGCTGGGGCCTATGGGCACCAGGTCACGAGGACTGTGAGGCCCGGTGAAGGGGTGGAAGCCCCTGTCTGGCCACATCCTGAGTAGCCTTCCCCTTTGGGTTGTGCCCAAACTAAAGAGTTGCCAGTCCCATTTGCTGTGTTTGCCCCTGGGAGGTGGCTAGCAGCCGTAGAGTGTGGACTGCCGTCTTGGGCCACCTGTTCCACCTCCAGCTTCCGCTTGTCTGGCTGTGGAACCATGGGCAGTCACCCTGAGCCTCCTGTCCCTTGTGGGGTGGTGTTGGCACCTACTTCGTGAGGCTGTTTTCAAGATTAAAGGTGATAACACATGTAAACTGCTTGGCACCAGGGCTGGCACTTCTCAATAAATGGTAGCTGTTAATAGATTGATTTACTATTATCATCGTATTGTTATCTTTGTCATCATTATGGTTATTGCTGGCTATGGCTAGAAGAGCCTGTAGGAGCCTCAGGAGAGCACCTGGCTGTTCCCACCCCTTGATGACAAGAGTGTGGGAGGCTCTGGGCAGATGGGAGCTGTGCCTCAGGGAGCAGTGCCCCATCAGCTGGGCATGGCCTCTGGGCCTCCTTACGTTTCTCCATTGTTGGGCTGGAGCTTAGCTGACTGGGCAGGAGGCCTCAGGGGAGGTCACAGCACAGGGCCCCAAAGTCCTGATCATCAGAGGCTGCCCCAGGAGCGGCTCTAGTCTGCTCTCCCCAAGAGGCCCAGAACAAGCGGGGGCCTGGAGGGCAGGGCTGCCAGGGGGAGCCCCCTCACACCGTCCCGGTTTGCTGCTCACCGGTGGGCTGGCTGGGGCCGATTGCATTCGATGTAGACCTTCAAGGTGACAGCGAATTGCTCCTGCAGCTGGTCCACCACCCTGCGCTGCACCACACCTGGGCGATCTAGTGGGGAAGCGAAGGCAGTGTGGTGCCAGCAAGGCCATGGGGGCAAAGACAAGCTCGGTCTAACCGAGAAAGGGCAAATCACCAGCCAACCACCGTCCAGAGCCGGAGACGCCCAGGCAGGGAACTGAGGGAGCACTAGGAAGGCTGTGCATCACCCCACTGGCCCGAGGAGAAACCCGTCAGAGTCCCCATCCCAGCTATGCAGTCAGTCGGGGGGCAAGGCTGTCGGTTGGGACCTTCCCTGGGGGGCAGAGGAGGGACTGCTGCCTCCTGAAGCTAAAGCTGAGGCGGCGTGAGCAAGCCTGGGGGTGGTGGGGAGGCCAGACAGGACAGGTGGGGTCATCACCTGGGGAGAAGAGGGAGATGGCCTGCATTAGCACATACTCCTCCTTGTGCAGCTGCAGCTTCTTCAGCATGTAGTGGAATTTCAGCAGCGGCTCCAGGAGAAGCTGCTGGATGCCCCCTGTGAGTAGGATAGGATGGAGGGGCAAATTTCTTAGGATCTGACCAAAGACCCAGACTTCCCTCACTAACGTCTGTTTTCCCATCACCCAATCTTCTGCCCTGCAATCCCAGGACCAGCATATTCCTGGCATGGCTCCTCCCCGCCCTCCACGGTGTGTTCCCCTCCCTCTACCGGGGCAGACAGGCACCTGCAGGGTCTTCCAGGCAGTAGGACAGCCGACCACACTCCCAGGTCCCAGTCTCTGCATTGAACACCGTGTTGCATCTCAGTTGGCACAGCTCAAAGGTAGCCCCCTTCAGCAGGGAGATCTGGTCCTCGATGGGCAAGTCCCTGCAGTGAGGACAGGAGGGGAGGCCAGCTTCCTGAGAAGCTGCCACAGGCCAGCCCCCATTCCCAGGGTCCAGAAGTCAGGGGAGGTCGGGGAGAGGAGGATGGGCTCCCACCCCTGAGGATTCTGCAGTTGCTTTCAGATTGCCTCCGATCTCTCCCCCTGACAATCCAGCCAAGCACATGACTCCTCCCTTCCACCTTCCTCCAGTCTCCTGCTACCTTCTGGAACTCTCCACTGCCAACGTAGCTTGGTGTCCAGGGTCCTTACAGCCTGGCCCCATCTCCTCCAACTCCCTGCACAGCCGCTGACCTTGGCTTCTGGTCCCTGGCCTTGTACTTTCTGCCTCGGTTGCCCACTTGGAATGATTGACCCTTTGACTTCACTTAAGGAAATCCTGCTAGTCCTTCAGGCCAAGCTGTCTCTGTGGCTCCTAGACGTCTCTCCAGAATGCAGTGTTGTCCTGCAGGTGCCACTCCTTTGGCACGAGTTCCATGCAGTGGGGGTATTTGCTTCCTGCTATCTATTTGGACTCAATGTTTCTACTGTTTCTCTCCAGGCAGCCTGCATGCCTTGAGCCCCACTCCCAGCACTGAACGCAGGCCTAGCCACCGTGGCTGTCTCTGATATTCATGGTTAGATTGACACCCCTCCCAACCTGAGAGGGGCCCCAACTTCCCAATGAAGGAACCCGGGAGGGAGGTGGTTCTTGCCTGGCTCTTGACAAGGCCCTGTGCCCAGCTTTGGTCTTCTGGGGAATTTGGTCCCTTGTTTTCCTCACACCCCATCCTCCTTTTAGAGCCATAATACTGAGCAACTAGCGTCATGAAGCTGATCTCCTTCTGGGTCTCCCCAGCACCTAGCTCAGGACCTGGCAGGTGGCTGGCTCTCAGCTCTGTCCTCTGTGCTTCCAAAGCCGGCCTCTCTGATCAGCTGCACCCCTGTGCAAGTTCCTTAACCATGGTCGAGCTCAGTTTCCTATCTGTAGCATGGAGGTGATAAAAACGCCTGCCTCCTGGGGTGGTTGTGCTCAAAACTGTGGTCACAAAGAACAGCAAGTGACCTCCCATCCTGGTGTTAAATTGTGGGTCATCAGATGTCAGTGGGGATCCGCAAAGATCCACATGTGTAAGTAGGCCTCTCTCCCTACTCCCTTGACCTAATCTGCCACAATCTGACCCTGCGCCAGCCTGTCGCCTCCTCTCCCCATTAAATAAGTCCTGTGTGTCACCCATAGGGCACAGCGGAAACTGTGGGCTCCTGCAATATGACCTGCCCTCTGCCTGCCGATGGAATCAGGGGCTCCTTGTGTGTGTGATTTGGCTCCACCTGAGCAGGCCCAGCAAAACCAGGTGGCTGACCCCAGGAAAGACAAGCCCAGTACCACCTCCAGCCCTGACAGACCACATCTCACGAGGTTGTGCTGGTGCCACACCGGGAGGTTCCAGGGCTTCTTGATGACCAGTTGCCCAGGTTGTTGACTCCATGCCCAGCTTTAGGGAGTGCCCAGCCTTTGGTTCTCAGGACCAGCCATCCTCCTCATGGCCTTCCCAGCCTTCTCTTGGCAGCAGACTGCCAGAGCCCAAGCGTCTGCCCCTGCCTGTCTCCTCTTCTCCCTCTAGACTTCCTTCCCTTTCCTTCCAACTCCTTCCTGCTCTGGAACTGTCAACTTGTGATTCCTGCCCTTTTGGGAGGAAATAGGGAAGGGAATTCCTATCTGAATGTCCACCATGTATGTGCTGGATGCTCCTCAGATGTTTTCTTATTTCATATGGCAGCCTGCAAGGTAGGCCTTATTAGCTCCCAGACAGCAGAGGGGGAGGCTGAGACACAATGAGGTTAAGTGGCAGGCCCACAATCACAAAGGGAATGAGCTGTACCATGAGGGCTCCATTTCCCAGCAGTGCCAGGTACCCCAGGGGACACAGATAAAGGAGGGTCTTTCATCACCAACATCCCCCAGACTCAGAGGAATCTACCCCAGACCCTTTGAACCTGCTGGCCATTTCCTGCTCCTTTCCGCACCCATCCACCCAGCCCCCGTGTCCTACCTGAAGTGGGAGATGACTTTCGCAAAGTTGATGATGCCTTTGAACATGTAGGTGGACAAGTCAGCTATGTGGGGCAGCAGGGAAAAGATCTCTTTCCCACTGCCTTCGGCTGGGGGTTTGTAGTTCCAGATGCTGCCATCCTCCCCCCGCAGCTGCAGAGAGAGTTTCACGGAACACAGGTCTTTCCTGATCTGGCTCCACCTGGCAGCCTCTTCCCGTGATGGAGCCTGCAAAGACTCTGGAATCTCACAGCCACTGCTAAGCACCTCGGGCAGCTGGGACACGAGACGGGAGGTGGAGAGAAGAGAGAGAGACAGCATGTATTCTCCCAAACACGATCTCACACAGGCCCCAGACAGGTACACACAGCCACAGCTGCAGCCTGAGAGAATGCACGATTACAGATGCATGTGCACATGTGTGTGCAAACACACAAACACAGAGCACTTGTTTCTTCTCTCTGGTCTTCTCCCATCAGGTGGTGCACTTTCTGGATCTATGAATTAATGGTCTGGCACATCCCTGCCTGGTCAGAGATGGGTTTTCTCCTTGCCCTAATGGAAGATGAGGGGGGCCTCCACCATCACTGTGTCCCAAACATCACTGACCTTGGGCTCAGGAGACTCAGAGAGAAGGATCTGGGAGCTACAGATGGAAAGAACAGACTTCTGGGGTGTCTGGGCTAACTAGTTCGCTGAGCTGGGCAGGCCACCCGAGATGCTGGTGAGCATAGGAGGAGGAGGCACTGGGTCGTACATGGCTAATGTTGCTGAGATCACTAACTATTCTTGGGTCAGTAAAACCAGTTCACACAAGTCCACCCCCTGCAGGTCCTGACCCTATCATCACAAAGGCCTGAATGCCAGCCACCCTGGGGCACCTCCGCTTTCCCTCCCTTTATTGCTCAGACTCAATTTCTACCTGCTGTGGAAGGAGAGAGCAGAGATTCTCAAACCTGAGTGTGTCAGAATCACCTGGAGGTCTTGTCACAACACAGAATGCTGGGCCCCACCCCAAGTTTCTGATTCAGGAGGTGTGGGGCGATCTGAGAATCTGCATTTGTAGCAAGTTCCCAGGTGCTGCTGCTGCTGGTCCAGGGAACACTCTGTGGGAACCCCTGGGAATGAGACTGGCCTTCTGAGGAGCCAGCACACTAGCTGAGCCAGCTCCAATGCCTCATACCCGGAAATTCTTGAAATGGGAGAAGGTGATGTCAAAGGTTTTCTTCTGAGCATCCATCAGCTCCCTGATCATCATCCGCTGCTCTTCGGTCAGACCCTTGGCTCCAGGGGGCTGAGTCCCAATCCGTTCCCTCTTCTTCCTCCTGATCAAGGCCCGCCTCTGCTCCACGGCCGCGTCGGACATGATCACTGCAGGGACAGCCAGACCAGGCTCAGGCACCTGCCAGGAGCTTGGCCACTTCTTGACCCCCTCCAGGCAACAGTAGGGAGGGTGCTGGTGACAAGAACCGGCCCTTTTCCAGACTTGAGAGGTCTGTGGGCTCCTCTGGAGAAACACCGGGGTGAGGACAGAGGGATGAGGTGCGGCTGGTGTGCTGCCCGCAGCTGTGGGGTTTGTAACAATTTTGTGGGACAGTGGGCAGAGTGCAGCCCTCAGAATCAAAAGGTGCTGGGTTTGAGGGACAGCTTTGCTGCTCTCTAGCGGTGACCTTGACAAGCTCGCTCACCTCTCTCCTTCAGTTTCCTTCCTGGTTATCTGGAGTGACTGCTAACCTCACACTGCTGTTACAATGAGACACTGCATGGCAAGTGCCTAATCCAGCTCCTGGTACACAATAGCCGTTGAGTAAATGCACCTGACATGACTCCTTCCTGGTAGATCAGACACCAACAAGACTCCTCAGAGTCCCCAAGGTCCCTGGGTCTCCAAAACCCCGGAAGCTGGGGCTAGTGCTTAGAAGGAAATATCAACTCTAGCCACTGCCTATGTAGCCTGGAGCTGTCGGGTCTTCTGTGGATTTCTGGAGCCCACTTGCGTGTGTAGAGCAAAGCTGTGGGGGTCTTTGGAGGGGAGAGCAGGGATGGCTGGGGAGGGCCTCACTCTCTGCCGGTCTGCAGCAGGCTCTCTGCCCGCATGCCCAGGAACCCGGCCCCTGAAAGAGGCTGCCCATCACGTAAGGTCACTCTGTGATTGATGGAGATAAATATGCACTGGAAGTTTCCAGTCTTTTCTCCACGAGCTTTAATCACAGAGTCACCTCTGAGCACAATTACACCAAAGCTCAACAGGTAGAAGGAGAGCACTCTATGTCGCCTATCTGCAAACAGTTCCTCTGGAGGACACCAGGTCTGGGGCAGCAGCGGACCCCAGCCACTAGAAGGTTGGGGGTCATGTCACATTACGTGTCTCCAGCTCCCCGCCCTCCAATTCACCTTCCCCAATTTGGTTAAAACAACGATGAAGGGGACAAAAAGAATCCCTCAAGAGCCGCTGAGGGGAGAGTGGGGCACGACCCTGGCCTGAGATAAGCACACCTCCCAGAGCAGAGACTAAGGGCCCCTCCACCTCCCCAAACCCCAGGACTGCCGCGGGGGTGCGGGCAGCGTGCACGTGCACACTTGCCGTGCGGGTCTGCACACGCGCTCACATGCACGCCCGCGGCCCACGCCCACTCGGCGGCCGCGCGTGTCAGGCCGAGGGTCCGCGCGCCCACGCCGCCCAGGCCGCCCGCTGCTCACTCTCCTTCTTCATGCCGCTCTCCAGGCACTTGCGCAGGCGGCAGGCCTGGCACTGTCGCCTGGTCTTCCGAGTGATCTCGCAGGTGCCCTTCCGGAAGGGGCACCTCAGGCGGGCGTTGCGTTTCATGGCCCTCCTGGGAGAGAACAAAGAGCGAGAGTTCGGCCCAGGGGCCTCTCCAGGCCGCCTCACATCCCGAGGACACTAGCCGCGCCCTCTGTGGGGCCTGCCTCTGCCTCTGAGTCTGGTGGGGTTCATCGGAGAGGTGCGGGGGTCTTTCTATCTGTGCGGGGGTTCCCCCCCCCCACCCAGGAGTCTCTGGAGGAGGGAGAGCAGGAGGAAGCGGTTCCTGCCACATTCCCACTGCGCTTCCAACAAGCCACCCCCCGGGCCCCTTTCTGGGGGCAACAGCGCCAAGCCCCGCCCAGCTTACCCCGACCCTCCCCTCACCCCCTTGCCCTTAGTACCAGGCACCCCAGGAGGACGAGGCCATGTTTCTGTGCAGGTGGCCTCTTCCTGGGTTTCTCCTCCTTGGAGGAGGGAGCCAGAGGAAACCGGCCCCAGGAGGGTAGGGACAGAAGGCCCGCCCTTGCCCAGCCCCCAGTCTAGACTGGGGGCCAGGGGCAGCCGGAGGCTCAGGAAACTGTGGGGAACTCTCTACCTCACCGGACAACGGCCTACCCGTCCGAAAAGCGGATTCTCCTGACTGATCTGCGGGAGCCAAGGAGTTCAGAGGCCTGAAGCAGGGGGTGTGTGGGCCCGTCAGCCACAGGTCCCGGCACAGCTGGCCGGGTGGGGAGATACCGGGGTAAATGCCTTAGAGACCCCAGCACAACCGCCCTCTCCCCACAGCCAGGGCATCCTGAACTTCCCGCAAAAGACCCAGTCAATGTGGCCCTAACTTCCTTGCCCCCTTTTCGCAGCTGAATAGAAAGAAACCAATTCCTCTTGGGCTCTGGCCTCTGGCCTCTGGTTCTGGTCCACAGTGTGGAAAACGAGGACCTGACAGGCATGGCTGCAGAGTGGCCCTGGGGCTGAACCCGGAGGCTGAGCCGTGTTCATGGTGACCACAAGCTTGACCCCGGAGGCCTGAGGCCTAGGGCCAGTGACCAGCCCAGGGGGCGTGTTCTTCACGGGCGCCACCACCTCCCCCTCCTGCCTGCTGATGCTCCTCCAGAGTCCACCCAGAACGGGAAAGGGGGAGGAGCTCACACTTATGAACGACATGCTGTGAATCAGATGCGCAGCTGGATATCGTGCAGAGCTGTGCAAATTCATTTCTCACACCCCGTGGAATTCATCAGGTCATCTGCCTGACAGAGGAGGAAACTGAGTCTTGGAGAAGACAGATGGCTGTCCTTCCAGGTGAAGGACAAGCTGAAATCTGAACTCAGGTCTGTGATCCACAATGCCAGCTTTTACCCCTACAGCACGCTGCTCCCCACCCACCCCGGGAGTCCCAGGACAGCCACTGAGTGGAGGCAGCCGAGCAGAGGACTCTGCCCCGCAAGGCAGTCTACACGGACGCTGCCGGCAGAATCCAGATCTGGCTCGGATGTCTGCTCTCCTCCGGGTGGCCGTGTTGGCATATGCCCAGCTCAGGATTGTGTCTGGTGCTCTTGCTAGTGACCAGTTCAGGAGTATGCTGGGGCCCAGTTCCAGCCGCTGTGAACTGAAGGGTCTTCTGGGGAAGGTTTCCTTGCTCTTAGAGAGAGGATGAGATGGGCCTTTCTGTCCCTCGGCTGAGCATCGTGGTTACCACCTGTGGCCCCTGCACGATGCTGCCCCAGGGGGAGCAGCCCGAGAGCAGAGCTCTCACATAGGACAGCAGCAGAGAAAAGTGAAAAGATCCGAGCTGCTGAACTCACCAACCCTGAAGCCTTCAGACTTCTAGAAATGAGCAGTAACATGTTTTCCTCATTGTTAAACCCCTTTGAGTGGAGCATTGCTACAGCTGAACGCGGCCTGACGTGGCTGCTGTGTTGAGCGTCTGTTAGAACCCACCCAACACGGGTGTTCGTTTCTCCCTGGAGCATGGGCACCTTTGGACCCGGCCTAGGCCCAGCCATTCCCTTGGCACCTGAGAACCGCTCAAGCTTGACCACATAAGCCCTGAGGCCGGAGTTTCTTCACTCTGGGGAGACGTTGAGCTGCTGCAGCCCATCCCTGGGCTAATCCCTCCGTGGACATCTTCCTGTGGGTTCTGGCCCGCACCCGCCTGACTGGAGGCCCATCTTCGGTGGGACTGCAGAGTGGGCCGTGGCTCTAGGGTTTGTTTCCATCTGAATGTCCAGCCACCGGGAAGAACTCTGCACAGGCCAAGCCAGGCTGGCTGTACCGAGATGCGTGAGGGTCCCAGAGGTGAGCGCTGCTCTCTCATAGCTGGCCCTCCCACAGGGCAGACCGGGAGCCTTCCTCACACATTTCCTTTCTCTGCTCCCCTCATTTCCTGGTGGGCTTCTCTTCCTCTTGGTCTGAGCCTCGCCTCGAGCTTTGTTTTTTCTCTCTCTTCAGCTGGACGACGTGAGCCTTCTGTCCGGACCTGTCTTGCTGTGAGCTGGGACCTTTTAGTCCTTACCTTTTTGGACCTCTCTGTTTGTCTGTTTCTAGGTGAGCTTGTTTTGTAGCAGTATTCATTTATTTTATTCCATTCTTTACTCAACAACCACTCCAGAAGACTGATCTGAACACTTGCATTTTGGATTTTCAAATTCTTTGCTCTTTTACTGACTGATCTGCTATTTTGTTCAAGAACACATAGAGAAACACAGGGGCACCTTAATTCAAAGGGACCTTTCCTGGGTAAGGCAGGAAGACAGAAGATGAAGGAGCCTCTGAGATGTAAATGGCTCTCTTGAGAGTCATTTGGATGGGCCATCAGCCCACACTCTGAACCTGGGAGAGAGGTCAAGCTGAGGCCCTGAGACAGTGCCCAGTGGGCCAATGGCAGAACCCTAGTTAAATGTGTGCGTCAGGAGTGGCAGAACCCAGGGTGTCAGGGGAGCAGGTGGGTAAAGGTTGAGAGGTAGCTCTACCTGAAAAAGCCTTTGCATCCTTCACATGTCATGACGTTGAAGTGATAACCAGTGGCCTTGTCCCCACATACACGGCAGATTTGGGGACCCCCATCTCTCTCATGGGCATTGATGGCCGGCTTTCCAGGAGTGGAGTCTGCTTCTTTGCAGCGCACAAGGTCAGCATGGTTCCAGCTCTCTTCAGGTCTCACCTCCAGCTTTGCTTCTGGGCCCCTTGCACTAGAAGTGAAAAAACCACAGGGAATGAGAGGGCTGGGCAGGATGTGCAGGGGCAGTCCTCTCTGTGTGTCACTCCCATTTGGCTCTGTGGACCCTAGAGCTGCCTCTCGTGGAGGAAATGGGGGTGGGTTTGGAGTTGTTCTAAAAAGAGATGTAACCACGACATTTTATATACAATAATAGGGTTCTGGAATAAGACATGTGAACAAGAACATGGAAGGGAGAAAGGTAAGAGGAAGAAACAAGAAGGAAAAAGAAAAGGCTATCTGGGTTGGCTCATGGCAGTAATACTTGAATGGACTGAGATCAGGAGGCCATGAGCTGGTCAAAAGTCTGAACGGGGAGCAGCCCAGGGGACAGGTCACTTGTTCAGGATGGTTTCTGGGATTGAAGAAACCCAGGGGGGCAGCCCTCAGGTGTGTTGTGGCCCAAGCTCCCAGAGAGAGCTGGAAAGGCTGGGCAGAGAGAGGGTTTCAACTGAGTAACCAAACAGATGGGGAGAAAGATAGACAGGAGTGAGGCTCACGATGCAGGGAGAAAATGGCCCATGTCCCAGGCAAGCGGGGGCCTAAGTGAATAATCAGAGAACTCGTAGCCACTGATAGAGCTGTCCTCAAGATGCCCCTCCAGGGAAATTTCACCTTGAGAATGGACACCGAGGACAAGTAGTAGAGTAGAAATTGGGAACTGTCCTATTCACTGCTTTTCCCAAAAGTCTGTCTGGGCACTGACTGCTGAGGACCGCCACACCACAGATGATGTTGCTTTTTCTAAAACCAAAATGAAACTTTGACAGAAATTTCAACACACCAATTTCTGTTTCCAACAGCATGACAGATGAGAGCTGACAGTTTCACCGCTAAGGATGGATTGGAATTAATCTGTGCCCTGTCCCTGGCCCGCAGAAAACTGCAGACAGACTGGGAACTTGAACCGAACAGGTGTGTATGGGAATCTCTCCTAATTTTTCAAATCATAATCATGACCTCGTATAGGTTTGCAGACAAAATGTATACTGAGTGTTCACAAAAGCCTCAAACCAAGAATTTGATTTAGGGATCTTGGGTTGGTGGTGCTCCCAGACACCCACAGAAGCAGATGTTGATCCTCCTCTCTAGAGGAACTCACATTCCACCAAGGCACGAAGAGTCGCACAAGTAGTGTTCAAGAAATATGAGCAAAAACTCAGAAATCGCAAGGCCAGGACCAACGTGGCACCATGAGCAAGACTCAGCAAAAACAACTTAGAACAAAACCAGACATTCAAAGGCTCCCTGAATTATCAAACATGGAATCTATTTAAATAAATAGTAGAAAACGTTAAAGATATAAGAGCAAAAGACCACAAAATTGACCAAGCAGATTTGCAAAATGAATAAAAATTGACTATAAAATCTGAACAAATATTGACTGTATAAACCAACAATATCAATGTCCTGGGAGTTAGAAAAAGCAAAACATAACTAAAATCTGCAACAACATAGAAGACAGAGGATCACAGTGAAACTTTTCTAAGGTTCTGTATCGTTGAGGGAGGGAAAGATAATAAATAACTCGATTTTGATAAGTAAAGTATACTTGTTAAAATTTCTAAGATAACCTCTAAAAGTCTAGAAATAGAATGCATACCTAATAGAAGCTAATAGAGAGGAAAAAATGGGAGAAGAAGAAAAAATTCAACTAGAGAGATTAAAAGAAACTCAAAGAATGAGATAAATAGAAAGCACTGGGTAAGAAGGTGGAAATAGCACATATAATGATAATTAAATTTAAATATATTAAATGTTCCCATTAAAAGACACTGACAGGGGGTGGTTAAGTTTGCGTGCTCTGCTGCGGCAGCCCAGAGTTGCACTGGTTCGGATCCTGGGTGCAGACTTGGCACCGCTCATCAGGCCACGCTGAGGTGGTGTCCCACATAGCACAACCAAGGCACTTACAACTAGAATATACAACTATGTACTGGGGGGCTTGGGGGAGAAGAAGAAGAAAAAAGGAAAAAAACAAAAGGAAGATTGGCAACAGCTGTTAGCTCAGGTGCCAATCTTTCAAAAAAAAAATAAGTAGCATTTAAAAAAAAAGACACTGAGAAAAACGGTGTCAGCATTTCAGGCTGGGATTATCTAAGGTTTGGGATTAGTATTTTGGGGGCAGACTTTGAGTTGAAGAATAAGGAATGGGGCAGGTACTAAACTGGTAACTAACAATTATTGAAACAGTGTTCTAGGTCCTTTGCGAAAGGTAACTCATTTATTCATCATAACAATTATCATAACACTTATAATCTCACTCAACAAACATATGTTTGAGCATCTACCATACATCGGATACCCTGTCATGTTGGGTCATTTTTCAGGTCCTACGAAAGCTGGAAGTCACTTTTTTGGCAGAAATCCGGGGCCTGCTATAAACCCCTCTAACTACTCACAGACACAGAGTGTGCCAAAATCAAAGAGCATCACAGGAAGGGAAAATTTCCTATGCAAGGTATCACTTCGGAGTGCACACTGGAGGAGAACTGCTTTCCTTAAGTTTCAGCTTCGTTCCGGAGCCATTAGGAATAGTAGAATCTGAGGCTATGGAGATGGTTGGCAGAGAGTCTGCACGTAAATTATCAACTTTGGACAATCGGAGATAGTGAGATGTCTCTTCCATAGCAAACAGTGTAAATGCCGTTCCCTAGGAGGGAAGTGATCATTATGCCGTAACAACCTGAATAACAGGAGAAGCTCGGTGGATGGCATACGCCAAGAAGGTGAAAGAAATGTCTCCAAGAGGACACAGGAGAGACGTTTACTTAAACGTGTCTGATTAATCCCCAATTCCTTAACTCATGAGGAGGTATTAGAATTAATGCCAGACCCTCACTCCATAGTGTTTGTATAACTTTTGTTTGGTTTTGCCTAAATTTGCTGTTAATAAGCAGACCCTGGGACATTCCGTAGGCCAGTCTCTCATATCCTTACGAAGTCCCAGTTAGAGAACTCATGACAGCTATGTTCCAAAGATAGCCCCCAGTCAGCCACATCTCCTGGGATTCCCACCCTTGTGCAGTCCCCTCCATGATGCATCTAGGATGGTCTGGGCTTTGCTTTAACCAATAGAATGTGGGGAAGTGACACTGTGCCAGTTCTGGGCGTAAGCTGTAAGAAGGCCTGGCAGCTTCTGCTTTTGCCCTTTGAGGAGTCCTAAGCCATCATGTGAGAAAGTCTGGCTATGCTGCTGGAGTGGCCACCCAAAGGGACCATGCAGAGAGGCCATGTGAAGAGGGAGGGCCCTGAGATGACACAGACAAGAGAGGCCCAGCTGCCACAGCCTTCCAGCCGTCCCCACCAACTTCCAGTCATGTGAGCAAGCTCTCTTGACCGTCTCAGCCCAGTTAAGCCTCCAGCCAATGCCACGTGGAGCAGAACTGCCACAGAATCATGGCAGAAAATAAAATGGTGGTTGATTTAATCTAGTAAGTTTTGGGGAGGTTTGTTACATGGCAAGAGATAATGGAAACAGAACTAGAATTTTGTTAGAAATAGGTCTGAACTGGGGTGGGTGGGGGTGCCAGCTGACACCCCCAGTCCTGATCTTACTCCACTCTTATGTCAGTCCTGCTTACAAAACGGTGCCCTGTGGGCAGGAAATGACAGTGACTAGGTGACTGGTCGGTACCAGCCATCTCTCTCTTTCATGGGAATATCATAAGACAATTAGACGTGCAGTTTCCATTGACTGCAGCTGTGTTTGCTCTGAGGGCGGCACCTGCTCCTTGCTGTGATCTGTGAAGTCTAGCCAGTGGAGCGTTGAAATGATTGCCTCTTGTATCAGTGAAAGTAAAATACTTCTTCAGTGAGGGCTTTTCAAACATCATTGTAAAGCTCAGTGTTTGGGCTGAATACTAAAGACAGGATATATTCTCAGCAAGGAAGAGTCATCGATAAATGAATGAATAAATTAATGAATTTAGTGTTTCTCCATGCGTGGGGCTTGCTGCGCCGAGCACACTCATCGCTGCCCCCTCTCTGGGTGGGTGATCAGGTGGCATTGCTTAGCTAGTAGGAGGTGGAGTCAGAATTTGAAACCAGGTCAGCCCAACTCTAAAGCCTGTGTTCTGAGGTCAGCATTGTGCTACATTGTTCACCAGACTTGTTTCTGAACGGGTGCACCGTTTATTACACCCCCTTCATTTCTGTGCAAGATTTTTCCCAGGCAGTTTGTCTCCAAGTCCCTCTGTGTCATGAGATTCCTTCGGTCTAGCTCTCTGTTCTTGGGCAGAAGGTGGTTCCCTGAGACCCTCAGTTCTTGCTCTCTCAGCGCTGGTTATAGCAGCAGGGACCACGGAACCTTGCTGCCACTCCCACCACATCCAGAGGCACCTTATCCCCCACCCTCTGGAGGACTGCTGGGCCTTCCTTGCACATCAGAGAAGTGTTCGAGTTGCGATGGCCGTCCACTGGGTCTGACTGGTTGCTGGGAGGCTTCCTCTGTCTACACCCTTGACTTTCTGAGCAGAGGCTCTCAGAAGCAGACGGCCCTGTGTTTACAAAGACCTGCGGGTTCTCTGAGGCTGACACTGCCTGTTTCTTGCAGATGCTGTGGTTCTCAGTTTGTATTTTAGTCATTGTTCACGTTGGAGGCTTTTTCTTTTGTTTCGCACCAGCCAGGGCCTTTTACTAAGCCCTGAAAAATACCACTTTTTGGCTCCGTCACAAGGGCCCTTTGGAGAGCTTTGGGGTGGGCTACACATTCAGGATGGCCCCACGGTGTGCTGCTGCCTCAGAAATCGTTGGAATTACGGAAGGCTCCATCCTGTGTGCGTGCAGCAGTGGCCTTACCAGGCTGGTGTATATACACACAGTGACTTCATTTGCTGAGGGCCCCATCCCCGCTATTAAATTAGGGAGAAGGGAGGTCCTCCTTGAAGGACATGGGAATGACTAATTGTGACCAAACAGGACCCAGCCGTCCCACAGTCTCCTGGAGGTCAGAGGACTTTGCTTTTTGCTCCC